AAAAAAAAAATCGATGCATCTGAAGCATCCACTACCCCTTAATGCCTCAGGTCCAAATTGGCTTTCCAATACTTGATGCAAACACATATATTGGTACTGAAAATTTTTTTTAAAGGTTGAATTCATGTACAATATATCTTTATCTATCTACTTTTTCCACATCAGTCTTAGGGAACACATACTTCAAGAAGTCATTGCCCCAAATAGAGGCTTTACAACATAACGAAAGATTAAACTTCAGTAAATTTGCCAAATCTTTCCAAACCTGTCAGGGTGAAAAAATTGTAGGGATAAGAATCATAAAGATGAAAATAAACTGAACCTAACAGACTGCTGAGTTCTATCAAACTACTTAAAAGCAACCAAAAGGCAGTTTAGGAGTCAAATGTAGATTTAAAAAGAAACGTAAAGAAAGTTAGTCAGCAATAGAAAGAAGAAAAAGTATCCAACTCGAAAGAACTCTGAAAACGCTGAAGTTATGTTTGGACTTGAAACTCTTTTCACTAAGATTTAATAAATGTCTTTCTATTGCTTTTGCTATGCAAATATTGCACCATCTTGTTAGTGCATAAAAACTAAGAAGGAAGACTAGAAAGCTGGAGAGGATAGATCTGTTTTGCTTGCTTCTCTGTACATTAATACCTACTAGCACTGTAGTATCTGATCTAAATTGAATTAAATACATTATGTAAAACAGCATATGTAGCAAAATAATGCAAGTTTCTTTCAGTTTAAATAAATGTAAAGGTCACAAATTTCATACCCAAGTGCATGAAGTTAGACTCATACATAACCTAATGTTCTCAGGCAAGGGAACTCACTCTCTCATGTCAAAAACCTATGGGATTTGTTGATATTTAATATTCTGAAAAGGCTGGTCAAACTTATTCATGAGCTTAATCTTGGGCAATTTAAAAATCTGGGCCAAAAATTTACATGCAACTTTCATCTTGACAGTTTCTTCTTTATCAGTAGTTACATAATGAACCAGAAAACATAATTATAAAGTCCTTTGGGAATAAATCTACATTTTGCTACCACAGCCCAAATCAAATAGGTATGTAAGAGATACAAACCAAAATGTATCAGCTGGTGTAGCATTCATCTCAGAAAACAAAACAAAACAGAAGTTTATTGTTAAAAAACAAGAATTTGAATGATCTCTTTACTGGACTGACCGACTGCATAGTTACAATAAACTTAGCCACGTGCTTTCAAATGCAAGGCATTCTTTTTCAGGTCTCGCTGTTAAAATAAGTTCTGACCATTTGTTTTGATGCTCCATATGGGAATTTTAGATCCTAATTACATGAACCTTACAAGGGAAACTAATCACACTTTTACTTAAAAAGTAGCTAGTGAATGAGCAAGCTGGGGAACTGTGGCCATCTCACAGTCCAATAGCTGGGGAACTGGCTCTGGGGTCGGACCCAAAGGTTACTAGTTGGTGGGAACAAATCAGCGTGGCACAAGGTTACCAGTGGAGTCCCCCAGGGATCAGTGCTTGGGTCAGTACTCTTCCATATCTTCATTAATTATTTAGATTTGGGCATCAGATGCAGACTGGCAAAGTCTGTGGACAACACTAAACTATGGGGGAAGGCAGTCACACTGGAGGACTGGCTAGGGATACAGGCCAACCTGGACACACTTGCAAAGTGGGCAGACCAAAACCTGATGGTATTCAACGTAGAAAAATGCAGGGTACTCCACCTTGGGAGAAATAGCCAGCATCAGACTTACAGGCTCAGCGGTGCTACGCTCGCTAGCACTGAGACCAAGAGAGACTT